TCTGTCTGAATTACGCTTCCTGGCCAATGGCAGTTTGCGTCCTTCTCGCGTTCAGATCTGTCTGAATTACGCTTCCTGGCTTCTCCGTTTTTAGAGGCTCAAATGATCACACTGGGCCCACGTGGAGAATCCAACACGATACTTTTGTGTTCGTTTTAGGTCTAGTGCAACAAATCCTCACAAACTAAGGGGCTTAAAAGAGGAGGCGTTTGTTCTGTCTCGGTGTCAGAGGCCAGACTCCAGGGCTCAGCAGAGCTGCTCTCTCTCTGAGCCTCGTATGATCGCGCAGCCTCTCACAGCCCATTCTGAGCCCCCAAAAGTCCACATTTGCCGATACGTGTCCTTTCTTCCTTCTGTATGTCCCGCCAGCGTGAAGCTCACAGAACAGGACCCCACCATCAACATCCCAGGCGAGAGCTCCTCGGGGCTGCAGGTAAGCGCGGCGCGGGGCCAGAGGCCGGACTCAGGGACTCGATTGTTTTAAACATTTGTAGTGTTCCCGGGGCTGCTACTCTAATGGTATGTTCCTATGTCCATTCTTACATCCAGACGGGCATCCAGATCTTGTATTAGGCCAAGTTTTCTTTTATATGTTGCCAAAATCACTGTCTATGAAAGAGAACAATGGCATGTGTGTACATGGTGAGATGAGCGCATCTCATGTCGTCACCTTGTGTGTGTGAGAGAGAACCTTGAGATCTACTCTCTCAGCAAATTCCAAGTACAGTCACCAGGATGCCCGTTAGATCATAAGGTTTATTTTAGAAGGTCTTCCCTTTGGGTAAACCTATTAATAAACTTTTGGTCCCAGGAATTGCACTCCTGAGAATGAAAATAGACTCTAAGCCTTCCTGGGTTCAACCCAGTTCTGCCGGTTACCTGGGCAGGGAGCCCTGTGCATGTCTACTCCTGTGCAAACCTCTAAGTTTATTGGTGATGATTGCAGAGATGCTCCACTAGCACAGCACCCAACACGTGGGAGCATGCAACTGTTTCTTACCATTAACTTGAAGATCCAATCATAAACGTGGACAAAGCTCTATTGCAAAGATGTTCACCGTAGCATTGTTTATAATGATGAAAAATCTGAAATAATCTAAAAATCCAAATTCAGGTGAATGATTAAGTAAAATGGGCTCTGAAGATGAAATAATGAAGTTAAATGCTTCTGATGTAATAAGTGGGGAAAAGCAGTATATAAAATTACATATATGGCATGTTTGCAACTGTATAAAACAAAAACCAAATCCTATAAATAGGGGAAAAAAGTGACAGAAAATGCATGAAAATGCATTAGAATGATTGAACTCTGGGTAACTTTTGGTTTTCTTTTTCTATTTTCCAAAGTGTTATCTGTGGTTGCATGATTTTTGAGTAAAAATACGTGAAATATTTAATTTTTTTAGGTTAAAAAAGGAAGAAAAAGAACGAAAATGATACATTGGACATCATCAAAGTTTAGGGTTAGGGTTAGGGTTAGATTTGAACAAACTCTTTACCAAAAGGGATCTATGGACAGCAAATAAGCCTGTGAAAAGAGGCTCAGTATCACTAGGCACTGAGGAAATACAAATTAGAACTGCAATAAGGGATCACCACATACCCGCCAGCGTGGCTATAAGCAAAAAGTTTACTGATACCAAGCGTGGTGAAGAGGCAGAGGAGGTGGAGGCCTGTGCCCTGCGGGTGACATGTGGAAGACAGGCCAGGCCGGCAGCACCTGGGGTCAAATACATGCTTTCACGTGACCCAGCCGCCCCACTCCTGTCCTCACCAAACAGGAGTGAAAACACGTGCACGTGGACAGTGTATTTCTCTGCTTGGGCTGCAGAGGCCAGGCAGCCCAAACTACACGTTTCTTTTCTTACAATTCTGGAGGCTAGAAGTCTTCAGTCAGGCCATAGTCAAGGTTGGCTCTTCTGAGCATCTCTCCTTGGCCATCACACGGCCTTCTTCCTAATCTCCTCCTCACATGAGAAAACCAGGCACAGTGGACTATACGACGCACCCTAATGACCTCATTCCACATTAATTGCCGCTCTAAAGGCCCTGTTTCCAAATACAGTCACAAAGTCACGAGGGGCTAAGACTTCAACATAGAAATGGAGGGGATGCAATTCAGGCCAGAACCCGAGGACTGGGGGTAGGGTACCGCCCACCAGGGATCCTTCCCTGGACCTGGGAGCCCCTGAGGCAGCCTTACTCTAAGTCCACTTATGATGGGCTTGATTTTGTGTAAGGTAAGTTCCATGTCGAGGGCTTCTTTCTTAACTTGATGAATCATCATTTACTCCTTTCCCCCCACAGGAACTGGATGGCACCCTGCGTTCATCCACAGTGGGGTAAGTCTGTGCGCTTTCCCACCTGACAAAGGGCTGTGTACTCCTCTTAACGCAGATTCCTGAGGACAGTGGTCACCTGTGATGGGGTATTTGGGGGAAGACATAATAGAAAATACAGTTGTTCAGGTAACTCTGTGACACTGTCCCTCGCGGCTGTCCCCCAGCCTGGAAAGGCCTGAGTTCTCCCTGTCACCTTCTTTACAACTGACACCTGAGCTAATGGACACACATGAGTCATGCTCGTTTGATTTCTCTCTCTGTGAACATGTAGGACGCCCTTCCGTTGGTTTTCGATAGTGTCGTCCTGACGCAGGCCTGAGTCCAGTGGGCGCTGAGTCTGTTCGCCTTCCAGGAACACGGGCCAGCCCACTGCCCACCTTCCTGCCTCAAGGGCAGGAAGTGGCCCTTTACAAAGGCCCTGACCCAGTTTCAAGCACACGTGTTAAAGCGTATGCTCTGTCCCCTGGCAAAACTGTGTGTGGCCACGAGAGTCTTGTATCTCAGAATAGCGTGTAACAATGAACACACAACTTGACAGTAAGTAAATTACTCACTCTTTATTCACTTACTCAGCAACAGGTAGAGCTTTAAATAAAAAGCTACTTTTATAAAACATTTCCTATGTTGTAAGCATTTGGAGATTGCACGCTTACCCTCCAAGCTCAATCACTTTCATCTGGTGTCATTTAATACAATTTAAAATAAAAATTAAAAGGAACAAGTCATTTACTTGAATCTCACCCACCAAACACACACACACACACACACATGCACGCACGCACATGCTCACGCACCTCTCCAGCCCTCTCCAGGCCACTGCATGTGGCCTCCTTCTGTGTCCCCCACATGCCACCCCCCACCTCCCCGTTGATTCTGTTTCCCACGACCCCAGCAGAGCAAAGTGGAAGAAGTTCCTGCTGCCACCGTCCAGGTGCTCAAGTGTGACCTCCCTCAGGACCTTCCGCCCAGAGAGCTCCCTGAAACTCCAGGTGAGCCCGGGGGACCGACCTCTGAGCCCCAAGTGCAGAGTAAGGCTCTGTGTAGAAGTCAGGCTCCCCAGACTGAGGTTAGGATGGCTGCTTTGCCTGTGACCCAGGAGTGCTGGCTGCTCAGGGCAGCCCAGCTGAGTGCAGAGCAGCAGAGAAAGGGGGGCCAAGGCCGCGGGATGGTGTGTGTGTGATAGAAGCAGACGGACCCCAAAACGGAGGAACCACCAGCAGCCCTTGTGGGAGTCCTGATGTCCACAAGCAGCTTTGAAAGACTGTCTAGTATCTTTTCATTTTAGCCTGAAGAATTTGGAGGGGCTGTGTAAACCGTGTTAAGTCTATTGGTGATAGATTCCCTCAGCATTTGTTTACCTGAAAATGTCTTAATTTCTCCATCATTCTTAAAAGATACTTTCGTTGTGTATAGAATTCTTGGTTGGCAGGGTTTTTTTCCTTCGTGACGTTATGTCACCCCAATGACTCCTGGCCTCCATGGAATCTGATGAGAAATCGCTGTTTATCACACTGAGGATCCCTTGTTTGTGGTCAGTTGCTTCTCTCTTGCTGCTTTCAAAATCCTCTCCTTAGGTTCTGAGAATTTGGCTGTAATGTCTCAGTGTGGATTGTTTTAGTTTATCTTACTTGAAGTTTGTTAAGCTTCTTGGATTTGTAGATGCATGTTTTTCATCTTTGGGAAGCTTTCAGTCATTATTTCTTCAGGTATTTTTCTGTTCTCTTCCCTTCTCCCCTCCTCCTGGGACTCCCCCGTATGTTGATACCTTTGATGGTGTCCCACAGGTCCACCAGCCTCTGTCCACTTTCCTTCATTCTTTTTTCTTTACGGTCCTCAGACTGGATAATTTCAGTTTCATCAAGTTTTCTGATCCTTTTTCCTGCCTGCTCAAATATGCTGATCTCCTCCAGTGAATTTTTTATTTCGGTTTTCGTATTTTTCAGCTCCAGAATTCGTTTAGTTTCTTTTTCTAATTTCTACCTCTTTATTGATATTCTTATCTGTTCATACACCATTTTCCTGATCTCCTTTAATTCTTTGTCCATGATGTCCTCTGCCTCACTGAGCATTTTTGAGACAGCCGATTTAATATCCTTGACTATTAATTTGAAAGTCTAGGCTTCCTGTTTATTTGTATGTTTTATAATTTTTTGTTGAGAACTGGATAGTCTGAGTATTATAATGTGGTAACTCTGGAAGTCAGATTTGCTCCTCAGGGATTATAGATTTTTGCCTGTTGAAGGCTGGAACTATGTGTTTGTGACTTTTCCAAACTATTTTTGCCAAGTGTGTATTTCTTGTCACTGAAATTTCTCTTGCGTTATCTCTGTGGTCAGCTAGTGACCTAACAAAGACTTCCTTAAATGTCTGGCTGCAAATAGAGGGGAAAGGTTCTGTCTCTTTAAGTCTTCCAGAAGGTGGCACTGACGGAAGCTCTTGCTGCCGAGGGGGCCAAAACCAAGGCAGGCACCTGTGCCTGCCCCTCAGGGCAAGGCCAGACCAAGCAGAACACACAACCCCAAACTTGTGGAGTGCATCAGCCAGCTGCTCCGGGAATGAAGGTTGTTCTGCCCGAAGCCGCAGCAGGACTAAAGAACAGAGGGTGGCAGCCGCTCCCTCCCCCACAGATGTTACAGCATGTGATCGGTCTCCAAGTGTGAGATGGGTGACTGACAGCTCCTTTCAGCATGAGGGTTACCTCAGTGGAGGACGAACCTCTAAAGCTTGCGACTGCACCCCTTTTCCCTAGCAAACCATTGCTGCACTTTTGATACACAACCTTCTTCAACACAGTCATCAGCCACATCCTTCCCCACAAATCTCCATTCCACAGTCGTCCACTGTTTCACCTACCTGCTTTGTCCGGTTTTTATTTTCATTCCAAAGTAATATTTTGTTTCCCCTTAGTTCCAGTAATTTTTAGATGGTTTGGCAACACCTCACCTCACCTTTGCTTCCTGGGCAGCACTTCCTCTGCGTATTTTTTCTCACGCTGCCCTGTCACTACCAAGATCACTGCTCCAGTGCTTCCATCTGGGGGCAGACACCCCGTTGTTGCCTGTGGACTCAGGAAGGTTTGTAGCAGTGATCGTTCGCGTGGCTGCTCGGCCTGCAGTGGCCCCAGCAAGTTATCCATTGGGGGTAGTCCCCCCAACCGTAGCAGCACCCTGCCCGCCTCATGGTGGGTTCCATGCGGGTCTCTCCCACCTTCCACAGCACACTCCCCTGACCATGTCCTTCTGTGCCCATTTGCTTCCACCTCTTTGGGAGTTGTCTTTTCTGGCCCAGCAAGGGTTTCCCTTCTTGTTTTCCCCTGAAGTTATGTCTTTACCCCTTTATGTATCTTTTTATCTATTGACTATAACTTTAAAGTATTGGATCAGGGAAGGGAGACTCTAGTATATTTTAGATATGCTGTTTTGATTTAGAAGCCTCCTAGTGACATGTTTACTTGTAAGTCTTTCCAAATTTTCAAAGAACATTTTTGCATAATCCCAGTCTCTGGTTCATGCCACATTCAGCGCTGAAAGTTGAAATGATCACCATCCCTGACCTTTTGGCAAGTCTGGCAAGAACTGTGGTCACCCTTCCTGTTGGCTAGCTGGCAGACGTGGGACAATAAAGTCATCAGTCTGCTGGGCCAGGTTAGCACCAGGGCAGGGAAAAAAATGCCTGTATTCAGATGTGGGTGTGAAACACTAGGGGCTCCCTGGTAGCCAGGCCCCAGCACCACGGAGCAGCGAGTTATATGGAGAAGTTGCCAGGTTTGCGGTGACCTGTGTGTGCCCCAGGCACCCCCCGTTTGTCGTGCTGGGAGCCCACACAGGTCTCCTTGGCTTCCATGAGACCCTCACACACATTAGGCAAAGCACACTTGTCTTTATCCTGATGTACGTGCCGGAGAAAAAGCCAACATTCTCCACCAGAAGCAGTGGTGGTTGTAGCCACCCAGAGAGATGAATGCTCTGAGGCTCTAGAGGTGACTGACTGCCCACATCTCGGAGCTCATCCAGGGGAGAGGCAGGCTTGTCTGTCTCTAAAACATCCTCTTGTCACTACATTTTGTCCCCTTTGGCAGTTTAACAAATACTGCATCATGTATTCCATATTACTTCTCTTTCTGTAGGATGCAAAGGATCGACGAGACGTAAGGCAGCATATGGAGGGAGACGTGGCTGAAAACCAAAGCTCAGCTTCAGGTAAGCTATTGGGCAATTTGGGTCATGTTGAGCTCTACCCAAGTGTGATTTTCTACAGAGTTAAATATTTTCTAAGGAAAAAAAAAAAGGAGAGAGAAATCAGCATGGAAACTCAGGGCTGGGACGCTTGTCTCTGTGACGTGTCCGCAGACAGCCCCAGACGTCCCATGTGTTTGCCCTGCCCCACTCTGTGCCAAAGAGCCATCCAAGGGGTGGAGCTGGACACCGGCCGAAGCACCAGCAACAAACGTCTGCCCCTGACTGAGGCCTGGCTCTGGGCATCCTTCTGTGGCCACCAATCCGAGCTGTGCACCCCGAACAGTGCTGGTGGCCGACCTTGTGGTGGCCACACGGGGCAAGGTCCCACCAGAGAGTCTGGATGGCGACTGGAACAGAAGGTCCAATGTGCTCCACCACATCCCACCTGCCGGGGTCTCGAGTGATTTCACGCAGCGTCTTCATTGTTTGTGAGTCTTCATCCTTCCAGAGTTTAAAAAAATATTCACCACTCAGCCTTTCACCAACTAACGTTCATGACGATATCGTCTCATGAATGTGCATGCCGGTAGAGCACACGGGACACCTCCTTGAGCTGTTAACTCTTCAGCACGCTCGATGTAGGACTCGGAGACTCCAACTCCTGGAGGGGAGACGGAGGCTGGACGGGTTAACTGATGTTACGTCATTCCACGTAAGCTGGGTTTGAAGGCTCACAAACACAAACGTGGCATCGATGAAGCAGGGAGGGGAGAAGAGAGAGGCTGTTCCATGAGCCCGAGTGTGCAGGTTGATTCTGAGGACAGAGGGTGCTCCCGACAAGCAAGCACCATAGATGTGTGAGGGTGCGCCCACGTGTGGAGGTCCTCCTAAAGGTGATGATGAACCAGCCAGGCGGTGAGGGGCTCTCGGGCTGGGACTGAGGCAGGGAGACCCCCAGAGAGAAGCCCAGGGCACCTGCCAACCCTGGTGACCTTGTCTTCACAGACGTACAGGAGGTAGAAACGGAAGGCCAAGTTCAGAGCCAACTTCACTTTATGGGTTAAGTTGTCCCATAAAACTGGGACCCCAAAATGTGGAGGTGAGCCAGAGGACCCCAACTCTCTAGCCCCAAAGGACACAGGAAGAATCAGCCTCAAACCCTGGGGGTGTGAGGAAAAGAGAAAGATCATTGCTGGCTATTCGGGACGCCAGGCTGTCCCTAACTTTGCGAAAGGGGGCTGGTCCCCTGAGCCCCCAAGCTGAGAAGTGACATAGAGGGTCAGGGTCATCCTGGGCGCCAGGCGGAAACCCTCTGAGACTCGCCCTCCATTGCTTGCTGCTCCTTCATCAGAGAATCACGAAGAGGACTGCAGGGAAAGTGAGCAGCTCCCAGTAAGAGTGACCGGCTTCGCGTGGGGACAAAGCACTGGCGTGAGAATGCACAGAAACTAGCAGAGACAGAGCCCTCGGGACTCATCAGACGAAAACACCAAATAATTATGAGGATTTATTTTGTTTAGAGAAATAAAAGGCAACGTTTAAAATATCTGAAGAGAACAGAAAACTGTTCTTCAATTACCAAACACATTTGAGGAAGAATGAAATCAAAAGGGCAGGACAGGAGGTGCACAAAGCCGAGCCTGGTCTTTGCTGCAGCGGCCGGCTCTGTGCCGTGTGGGGCGCCGTGTGCCTGGGCTCGGAGCCCCCCACCCCTGCACACACCCCTCCGAGGTGCTCACGGGAATGTCTCCTTTTTCTGCAGGAGCCCAGGGACCTGCGCTGACTGAGAGCCCCTTGCAGGGCTCCTTCTCTGCCAGTAGGCTGCCTGTGGAGTCGGTCCCGGAAACCCATGCTCTCCTGTCCTCTCTGCGTGGCCAAAGAAAGGACACGTGGTCCCAGAAGCACTGGGACGTCCTCCCCAGTAGCCAGAAGCCCTGGAGCTTGGAGTCCACGGTCATCAACATCTCCGGGAGTTGCCAGGAGGTGCCCCATGTGTGGGCAGTGGCGCCGTACACCCAGGTGCCCAAGGGCCTGCCCGTCATCGAGGAAGAAGAGTATGGGATGAAGGTGACCCCTGTCGTCAGCGTGGAGGAGGGCTGCAGCCCCGAGGAGGCCACTGAGCCCGGCAGCTCCACCAAGGTCACCATGATCATAGAGACTGAGGACCCGGAGCCCGAGGACCGGGCTGCTCAGCCTGAATAGAGCAAGCGTGTCCCCCAGGGCCCCAGGACGCCCCTCCCTCCAGAGCTGCTCACACAGCCTGGCCTCATTTCCAATTCTAGGAGGAGACCTGGGCCCTGTGGTCCACCTTCAGATCCCGCACTCCATCTTCAGACCCCGCACTCCATCTTCAGACCCCGCCGTCCACCGTCAGACCCCACACCCTCCGTGAGAGTCAGGAGGGAAGAGGGAGCACATGAGCCCCTCTGCTGCTGGCTGCGTGGGAAGAGCTTTATGATCTCTGCACTTCACTCACTCTAGAAGCCATATTCTAAAGACTCGCATACTTTTCTAAACACGTCTAAGTGTTATTCCAGGAAGGAAGAGGATTCAAGATGGAGTGGGTGCCATGTTTTTACTCTGTTGACTATTAATGTTTTTAACTGTATGAATTTAAGTAGCTTTTAAGAAAATTCTTCAGAATTCCTTAGTAAGTTTTATAAGAAAAAATAAAAGTTAATTTTAATGGCAATAACCTTGAAATCAGTCTTGGTAAATTTCAAGTCCCTGGGTTTCAAGTGGCTGCTTCTGTGGAGGGCTGGCAGCCGATCCCTGGCCTGCCCGCCACACTAGTGCTGAGGTCTGAAGTCCAGTGTGAACCAGGCCTGGTCTGGGCCTCCAGAACTGGCTCCCAAGCCCAGGCCCGGGGGCAGCCGCCCCAGCCTTGTCTCTGTCACTCCCCTGAATCGGGCCCACTGCAGGCGGTGACCGTCCAGGGCACAGCCTGCCTCACCCACACGGCCGTGGTCACACCTGTGCTGGCCGTGCTCATCCCCGCCAACACGGTCAGAGGCCCTGGGCAGGCTACTGAACTCCCATTTCCTCCGCGTGAGCCACACGGTGAGGAGGTCCCCTCCTAGAGGGTTAGCCTCCAGGCCACCTGTGTGGTCCCCCATCAGGAGAGCACACGCGTGTGTCGCACGTGACGCAAGGAGCCCCTTGGCCTCACCTGCTCATATGCCCATGTTCTTCAACCACAGAGTCCGTTTCCAGCCCCTTCCTCCTGACGGAACGTGTTCTCCCTTGGGGACCACCTGGAAGACCCCCAAACTCCCTCGGGCCTCTCCAGGGTGGGCCTACACTCCCCCCCCCCCCGCCCGCACACACTTCTCATCCCCATCAACACAGTCAGGGGGCCCTGCCTCCAAGCTGAAGACTGCTGCGTCCTCCCACCTGCGGGAAACCTGGAGCGGCCCCTCCCTGTCCCTGTTTCCCTGCCACCTCCAGCCCTCTCTGCCCTCCTCCACAGGGCTTGGGTGTCCCTCTGGGCTCCTGCCCCCAGCCCCCAAAGTCTGCAGGACCTGCTAGTGGAACTGCTGTCACCCCGATTACTTGAAATTGGATTATGGCACCAGGTGGCAGCTCCCCTGGCCCCATGGCATGGGGATCTCCAAGTCCACATGGGCTCATGGGACTGAGGGAACCCAGCCGCTCATCTGACCTCAACCTTAAGGAAAGATGAGCCTCTAGCTCCCAGAGGGGAGGTGATCTCTGCCTCCCACCCAAGCTCACAAAGAAGACCCAGAAGGTCCCCCAAATAGAGAGCAGGTTCAGGAGCTGGGTGGCTAGAAAGTACTGACCAAAAGCATGCAGGGACTACATGATAGGCGTCAGGGCTGTGGCCCTCTGAGTCACGAATATGGACTGAGGACCTAGGACACGAGACGTGAAGAAAGGGCTCCCAGGCTGTATGGTGACGTTTTTACTACAGAACAGTAATAAGCACTTGCTTAAAAATGCATTTTCATTGCATCCTGCATTGAAGAAAGTGAGAAAACTCTCAAGAAACTAGAGAAAGGGGGCTGGGAGATAAGTAGTGAGCGTACAGAAGGGTGGGCTTCTTTGAAACTAGGCCTTGAACCAAGAGCAGCGCTGGGTGCAAGACTCCAGGACTAAATCGGGGACTCCAGCAGAAATAAACCGAAATAAAGCGGCCGAAGTTGAGATCCTGGATTTCTTAGATTTCTAGATTTCAGTGTTTAAGATCAATCAAAATCAGCTCACAATCAAAGATCAGAGAAAACCCACCATTGTGAGTGGAAGTCAACAGAAACAGTAAAAGTGGATTTAGGCCCCAGACACTTGAGATTTGGAATTAGAAAGATGGAATATTCAATAGGGTGCATGAAATATTTAAATATATGAAAATTACAGAAATAAGCAAAAAGAAAATTTTCTTCATGATCAAGAAGATATGTAAAAGATGCAAATAGACTTTTTAGAAATAAATATACATGTTAAAATAAACGTAACAGGTAAACGAAACATCAGATTAAACATAGCTGAAGAAAGAGTTATTAAACAGGAAAATCATCTGAAGAAATTACTCAGAATGCAGACGCAGCAGAGAGGATGAGAGATGGACAGAAAGAAGGGAAGGTTGGCAGAGACAGAGGAAAGATGGGGTCTCAGATGCTAGAGCACAGGAAGACAAGAACAGACGGAGGGAAGTGTTATAAGGAATGATATTAGGGTTCCCCTGAACTAACAAAGGACATGAAAGTACAGGTACAGGAGGCATAATGTATAACAAGCTGCATAAATAAAAAAGAAACCCACACCTAGACATCTTGGAGAGAGAGGCAGAACACCAGACAATCTGACCTTGAAAGCAACCAGAAAGAGGACGGATCACCTACAGAGAACAGGAGACTTCTGGACAGTGACAACAAAAGGAGGGAAGTGATGTCCACGAAGTGTGACAGAAATGGCGTCAACCTAGAAGCATGTACCCAACAATGCGTACTTAGGAAAAAGAGCAAAAACACATTCTTAGATAAATAAAAGCTCAGTTTACCACGATCAAAGGAAAACACGTAATGCAAACATTGGCAGAAGCCACGGGAAAAATGGAGAAGTGCTTCCAATACACCCCTCTCGGCTGTGTCAGGCCACCACATTGGAAAGGAAGTAAAAATACAGGTAGGACAACACGATGAACAAGCCCGATTTAGGGGGCATCTTCAGGACCCTGGACTCGTTTTCTGGAACATGTATGTGGGTTCTGCTCAGGCACACAGGGATTATTTCCCAAAACAAAGCCCGAGCAACCCTCTGGTCACGGGCGTGGGTGGGTGAGCATCCTCACCTCTGTCCCCACCCCCGCCCTGTGTGGTGCCGTCTCCTGCTGCCTTAAGGGTTCCCTGTGACCACGGAGTTGAGCATTGGGAGTGCTGTACACGCCGAGCCTCCCCCTTGGTCTTCATGTTTGGGCTTCATCGAGCTTCTTGCACCTTTGGGTTTAGTTTACATCAAATTTGGAAACATTTTGGCATTCATTTTTTTTCTAACATCTTTTCTGCACTCCAACCCCAATATTTTCTCCCCTTTTTCAAGAGCTTCAATTAAACATACATTAGGCTGCTTCAAGATGTCCCACAGGTCACTGATGATTTTCTATTTTTTGGTGGTGGTGCCACACAGCATGTGGGATCTTAACTCCCCAACCAGGGATCAAACCCGTGCCCCCTGCAATGGAAGCACAGAGTCCTAACTAGTAGACCGCCAGGGAAGTCCCTGTGATGATTTTTTTTTAATTCTCTTTTATCTCTGTTTCATTTGGGGTAGTTGGCATTGCTACACTTCTCCATGGTCTAACCCCTTGTGTATTTTATCTCATGCATCGTAGTTTTTACCTCCATGAATTTAATCGGTAGTGTTGCTATAGTCTTAGAACACGTGGAATAAGTTGTAATACTGTTTTATTGCCCTGTGTCAGTTCTAGGTCCATTTCAATTGATTCATCTATCTTCTCATTATGGGTTTTATTTTTTTTTTGCTTCTTTGCACACCTAATAGTTCTCATTGAATGCCAGTGGTTGTTAAGTGTACCTTTTGGGTGCTAGATTTTTCTGTATTCTTATACAGTAAATTTTCTTGAAGTTTGGTTTGAGATGCAGTTTGGTCTCTCTGCCTTGCTGCTAAGATGTGTGGGCAAGACCAGGGCAGAGCTCAGGCTACAGTCTACCATCCCCTCTCCAGAGCGATCCCCTTCTTTCCAGGCACCCCAAACGCCCGAGAATTGTGAAGTCTTCTTGTTGGCCGGTACACGCATCACTCATGACCTTGTGTGGGTGTCAGGCTCTGCCCCCTCTGACATTTGCAGTGGTCCACTCCCAGCCCTGCCGGTGTCCTCACCTATGTGAGGGGATCAGCGCTCAGCTGCACACTCTAGGGGGCTGTGCAGCTCTCTCTGTGCTACTCTGTCCACTTTGGGCCCCCCAGTCTCTCCGCTTTGTCCCCTCACCCGGGGAGGCTGCCGCCTCCACCCGGGTCCTCTCCCTGCACCTGGACACTATGTAGGACGTCAGCTGGGTCACTGTCCTTTGTCACCTGCTGTCCAGTGCCTTGCAAACCATGGCTTCATATATTTCATCCAGTTTGGGGTTGTTTCATGTGAGAAGGTAAACCTAGTTCCTGTTACTCCACCTTGCCTGGAAGCAGAAGTGTGTTCAGTGATAATCGGATGCACATTGGTTACTGCTGCACACACACCCATTTTCCTTTGCACACTCAGGAAATGCAGTCACGGGAGCAGAGCCGACTGAACCCACACAGGCTCAGACAGCTGCTGTCGTCACTGGTGAAGACGCGCCGGGGCCGAGGGGTCGCAGACCCTAACCCCCAGCAGTGACGCGCCCCCTGAACAGCAGGAAATGGGGGCGGCGCTTCTCAAGAGCGTGTGTTCAGAGAACGCAGGGAGAGGGTAGCTGACCCAGTAGCTAGGAATCGTGCTGAGACCTCCATGTGCTAAGAAGGCAGCACAGAAGAGCAGGTTATTAGTTTAAATAAGTGGGAAAGGCTAGGACTGGGCTGAAGGGCGGATTCTGCTCCCACGGGGCAGCTGACCCCGGCATGGTTTCCGGGGAGGCGTGGTGCCTCTGTCCCGGGATCCTTTCCAGACGACGAGACACGGTGTCAGGCAGAGCCAGTGACTCCCCTGCAGTGGACGTCTTATGATGGATTTCCACAGACGCTGGAAGAACAAGCTTATCAAAATGGCTTTGATTTCTGTTAAACTGTTTCTATTTTTATAACCTCTACGACGTGGATGCACGTCCACGTCCTCTTGAAGGGACCACAGAAAGCCGCCTTGTTCACACACCCACCTCAAGCCCTGCAGTTTATAAAGCTGTCCACTGTGACTTCGGGGTGTCCGACTGTCCTACTGTCCTCTGGCTCTCACTGAGCCTGGAGTGCACAGGCGTTAAACGAACTTGATGGCACATTCAGGAAACCGTGTGCACGCCTGTGTTGGCACCATATGCCCTCAGCCTCATGCAACGTTGGGAAAAAGGAAAAGCCAAGGTTGGCTGCCTCGGATGGACACAGGGGCACCACCTCGGCCACTGTGATCACAGCAACCAACAGCCCTGGGGAAGAACTCAGAGTCTGTCGCTGTGCTCAGAGCTCACGCACCATGTTGCCAGGGTTAGCACCGCAGGTTTGGCATGACCAGAGGTGGGGAAGGATGCGTGGGCAGGAGGGGTCCCCAGAGCCAAGGGGAAGCACCAGGCCTCCACCCTGAGCTGGTGAGCTGATGCCTCTCGAGACTGTCTTAGAAGCAAAGTTAATAGCAGACCCCAGGTCCTGGAAGTCTTATTAGAATAAAAATTAGGGAATCACCTTAAACCATCAGAAATTTATATGGCTTTCTTAAATGCCCACGTTTATGACCGCAAGGATAAGTCTATGAGCCACAAAAGCAGGTTTCCGAGGTGAGTATCAAGCATGTGCTGGTGGTGGACGCCAGCCCTGCCCCAAGCCTGCTGTGTGTCCTGGGCCAGCTTCTCTGAGTCCCAGGGGCATCGCCTGAAAATCGGGAGAGCGATCAGGGCTGTGCACACCTAGGACCCCCAGGAGGATCCCGTGCTGGTCCAGGGCTCGGCCGCCAGCATCGAGAGGTTCTTCACAATCTGGAACGAGGGCCCCACGTTTTCATTTTGACTGGATCCCGCACCTGACGTCGGCGGCCCCGATCGGACATCCACTCCAGGCAGGATGCGCAGCAGGGCAGTGCCAGCGTGGGCCACAGAGCAGGCACTGGGCGTCCACGGTCACCGTGCTGGGCGGTGGTGAGGACATTCCTCCCTAGGAGCCATCTGTCCGTCCACCCCATGCACCTCACCCCGAGGAGGGGGCCCTGCTGGGCACCGACCAGCAGCGAGCAGACAGAGCGGTCCCCAGCGGGCTGAGGCGCCCCACCCCGGGCAGCCGCTCCCCAAGGGGCTCAGAGCTGGCTGGAGGTCGTCCCTCCTTCCTTGGCTGCCCGGGGTATTTTGGCTCCATTGGGTCTAGGCTTCGATGAAGGGCGACTCTTCCCTGGTTGAGCAGCGCGAAGCGGGAGTCGCCACAGCTCTGTCCCCTGGCGAGATGGACGGGCTGCCTTGTGCCCGCCGGTGTCGCCCTGCCGCCTGGTGAGAGCCTGCACGTGCCTGCGGCCCATGAGCAGCTCCCCACGTCGGGGGCACTGCACGGCCGAGGATGGAAGCTGCCCGGGCCTCCGAGCATGTGGCCAGGAATGCATTTCAGCCAAGAGGACAGACTTCGGGTTGTAAAATAAGGAAAGCTCTCATGCCTAGCATGTGGAGTTAGGTATAGCCTGAGGCTCCAGCCCCTTCCCGCCCACAGACGCCCTCTGCCTCCCGTCTGGGTGGTCCTCGGGGTTGGGGCCCAGGGTCCAGAGCCTGAGGTAGCCTGTGGGAGCTAGGGTGGACGAGGCATGGGAAAGAGAACGCGCCAGGAAGCCAGGCCAGTGAGCTGAGCACCGTCCTCGGGGGAGCACAGAAGGGGGTCTCTGTAGATATACCTAGGGGCCTCTACAGGAGGGCACCTCGGATTACCCTCGTGGGCCCTAAATCCACGAGATTGTCCTTAGGAGACACAGGGAGGAAACAGACACGGGGGAGGAGGCCACGTGAAGACACAGGTCGAGGTCAGGGTGATGGGGCCACAAGCCCAGGGATGCCTGGAGGGCCCCGAAGCTGGAGAGGCAGGGAGGGTCCCCAGGCCCCTGCAGGGAGCACAGCTGCCGACACCTTGACTTTGGACTGTGAAGGCTTCTGTTGGTTAAGCCGCCAGCATGCGGTCCTTTGCCCTGTGGCCCTGAAAAACCAGCACAGTGTCTTACAAGTACAGATGATCCCGCTCACGGGCGGCCTCCGTGTGGCCACCGTGCAGACGTGCATGTGCCAACTCGAGTTGGGTTTTGATAACTGGAGTGTAGACGGAGGTCGTCCAGGTCTTGTCAGTGGACCAAGGGCCAGGGAGCAGCGTCATCCCCCACAAAGGGTGCGCTGGTCCAGCAGCCAGCGCTGGAAGAAGGCTCTTCCGACTCCCACACCAGGATGGAACCTGCCATCCCATCCTATCGCGAAGGGGACTCTCCCAGCTTGGTAAGAGCCCATGTCACTATTTCAGGCGATCTTTTGAGTGTGGCCAGGACTGACTCTATGCTGTGAACTCAAAACACAATCTCATTCACAGATGACCAGTGGTAGCCTCCAGGAATGGTACAGCCGGCAGCCCCGCTGGCTGACTTCTGGCCGCCTGCGCCGTGGGGCGTGGCTACGCGGGCTGTGGCTCTAGCCACCCCGTCGTGGGGGCAGCAGTGCTGGGAGCCCGCGCCGTCCCCCAGGCCCCGCCTCTGCGATGACTGTCCCTCACACATTTCTGCCCCCGGAGTCTGGCACTCACCTCCCAGAGCAGTTCCGCCATCAGCAAACCCACACATTTATGCCACAGCACTTGCACAGGTTTTGAAAAGTGGACTGAATGCTTGCCTTTTGGCTAATACGACACTGGGAACATAATAATGAGTAGTGTTTTTCGTTCTTTCATTTGCATCGTTAACAGTAACTTCAGTGGTGCTCGGGGCTGTGGGGGACAGAGAAGGTGCAGCCCAGCTTCAACCTAAAGAGTCAGGACCGCAGGTCACGGGGGGCGCCCCAGGGAGCCTCCTGCTTTCCCTGTTCTTCCAACTCTAAGATTCTGGACTTATCTGGTGTCCACAGCGTGAAACTTTTCAGAGAAACGAGAAATAGAAGCCCATCTTCGGCCAGTTTTCAGCAGGAGCAGAAACCAGAGGGGTTGAGAGGAAGGCACTTCAGCCCAGGACCACGGTGGGGATGGGCGGGCTCAGCCTGCCTGTCCCTGGTTCCCAAAGGGTCGAGAAAACCGCATCCTCTCTCCCGGGGGCGGGCAATCTGCTGGACAGCAGCACCTGTCACCCCTTCTCTGGCTCAGCACCCCGGCCTCCTCTGCTGCCTGGTCCGGCCGGAATCCCAGGTGATGTTGGAAGCTGCTCCCCGCAGTTCCAATTCAGAAGAGACCTGAGAGCTGGGCAGAGCCTGGGGTCAGGTGTGGGGTCTCTGCAGCCAGGACGGAGGACAGAGCCTGGGGTGGGGGGGGGGAGGAGTGAGGTCTGTGGCCAGATGGGCCATGGAGGTGTGTATGTGTAAGGCTCAGGGTGGGGGCTTTGCAGCCAATAGGGGAGGACAGGGCCTGCGGTGGGCTCCTTGGCCAGCTCCAGGTACTACAGCAGTGAAGCTAGAGGCCACACTTCCCCCTGGAGCCCGGGCATCTGGACAGCTTGGGGCGGCTTGCTCCACTGGAGGGGGTCCTGGAGGATAGAGAGGGAGACCCCTGCACCCCAAGTCTCAGTACTAGAACCTCCCTGTCACCCCGGCCCCAGAACCTTCGGCTGAGCAACCTCCTGGTTGAAGGCGGGGACGCGCCCTGTCTCCGAACCCACCCCTCCTGTCGCAGAGCCTGCCTGGTGGAGAGGAGGCAGCAGGTGTACCAAGAAGAGAGAGGAAGAGACCCTGGAAGAGGCTCTGAGGTCTGCTGCTTTCACCCAGATAACCCGCGGAGGCCCCGGTCGGACGCAGGAAGATGGCCCGCCTCCAGCTGGAGTGGGGGCCCTGGTTGGGGCGCCGCCGCTTGCCCCCGGGAAGGCGTCCCAGCTGCGCACCGCGCCCAGGGCCCGGCACGGACCCGCCTCCCCGCCTCTGGCCCACCCCAGCCAGGCGCTCGCCTCACCCTCCCACTGTCCCCCAAACTCTCGCGGGGCGGCCCCACTCCCAGCCCCACCCTGCTCCCCTCCGTGGGGCCCGAGCCCGGCCACCCCGGACCCCAGCGTTGGCCCGAGCGTCTCTGCAGAGAGGCCAGCGCCCGGCCGCCACAGCCAGGAGGCCCGTCCTTGCGCCCATCCGTCGACCCGCGTCCGGGGTCCCGGAGGGCCAGGTGAGACCGCACGGGCGACACCCCACCCCGCGGAGCCGTGTGGCCCTGGGGCCAGCGCCGACCCGCCTTGTAAGGCAGGGTCCGCGCTCTGGCAGCCTCAGTGCGCCAGGCAGCCCGGGAGGGAGGGGGCGGGGCGGAGCCGCCAAGAGAGTGCGGGGCGGGCCTGGGGGGGCGGGTCCGAGAGGGGGCCAGTGGGGGCTTGGGGGCGGGTCCTGGGACGGGTTCTCCAATGGGAGCGCGGGGAGGGCAGGGCGTGGGGCGGACCGGGCGCGGAAACTGGGAGCCAGGGGGCGCGCCGGCGGGTCTGGGGGCGGGCCTGAGGCCGGGGGCGGAGCCGGCGGGCTGGGAGCTGCGGCGCGAGCGCAGGCAGGGTACCGGGTCGCTCGCGCGCGAGTCGCGGAGGCGCCGCCGTTGCAGTCGCCGCATCTCCGAGGTAAGGGGCCGCGGGGCTCCGTCCCGGGGCGCGGCGCGCAGGCCTCCCTGCTCCTCCTGCCACCTGCGCCCGCAGGCCGGGGCGCGCCACCCATTCCCGGCGCCCGCCCGCGCCCCTTCCCCGAGGCCCAGTGCGTCCGTGCGCCCCGCGCCCCGGAGCTGCCGGCTATCCGCGCGGCGCTCGGGCCCCCGTGGTTGCGTCCGGGCGCGGGTTTCGGGACGCGGGGGCGCGGGCTGGAGCGACCGGAGATGAAAAGGACAGGTTTTTAATTGGGCCCTAAATGAGGCGCTTTGGCCTTTCTTCGCGTCGGTGCGTAACGCGACAGTGGAAGCCCTTTGCAGCCCCTTCCCTCTCCGTGTCCTGCTACATAAACACCGTTCACATGCCCAGGCCTGGGGTGGCGGCTGCCAGCGAGACGGCGGGACATTAGGGCTTAGAGGGTTTGAAATGAAGCCACTGTCATACAGCACGAAATTTAGGAGACCCAGGGCCACAGAAAGGGCCGTTTGTGTCCACGGGCCGAGAATGTACGTGATCCTCTGGCGAGAACTCGGCCGCCCCTCTCGGTCCGGCATTAACGTCGCCATATCGGTGCAGGTGAGAGGGTCAGGCCTACACTTTGCAAATCCAGAAGCATCCCCGGAGGGGTGTTCTGTTTTCTTATCGCATGTGGGCACATAACCCGGCAATCAAGATAAAGAGGTTGGCTGCCAGTGTATTTTTTCCACACGCCCCTGGGGACCAGTGCCCCGCCCTTGAAGGAGGATCCAGAGAAACCCTTTATTCTGCGGTTTCAGTTATGTAAATGAAGCCTTGAAATGAGGTGGGAAGAAAACCTTCTCTGTGACTGCTGTTTTGATAGGCGTTTTGTGCTCTCTGATGATGGGACACCTTTTCGGCTAAGCTGGCTACGCTGTCATCCGTCTGTGTATTTACTGGCTAATTCATCTGACGTTTATAAACGATAAAAGACCTAGCTCCCATGGCCCCCACCACCACCTCCCAGGACTCCCTGTGGCCAGTCTCTCAGGGAGGGTGTGCTGGGGGCGGCCTCCCCAGGGCCTGGGCCAGCCCCTGCCGCCTAGGAGGTGATCAGTAAACCCTGACCCGAGCTCCAAGTGCACTAGGACCACATCCGGGATGGAGCGATGGGGCTCGGGAGGGAGAGCTTGGAGCGGGCAGGAAAGGGGGGGAGGGGCGGGGCCTTGGAACAGGCGCCTTGCGAGTGCCTTAAACTGGACTCCATGATGCCTTCTCTGGCACCAGCCCCTGTTCCCACCACATGGTTGGAATCCCAGGGCTCAGTGATGAGCGATGGGGGAAGGGGGTGCTGGTGAATTTCCTGGGGGTATCTGCAAAATGCGTGCCACGCAAAGGTACGTGTGTTTTCCTGGGGAAGGGGCCTTCACGATTTCCAGAAGGATCTGTGACTCAGAAAGGTACCCTAATTTATGTACTACATTAAAAAATTCTTCTCCATCTTTTTGGAGTGACGAAGTGGTGGAGATTAGAGGAAGCTGTGTTGGCCGAATTCTTATCTCCTCGGCGTTGTTTGGCTGAGATCTTCGTGAACCCTTTGAAGTTGCAATAAATAAGCTGTTTTAACGATATACAAGGTTATAGATGCTCATTGTGGGAAATGTGCAAATCACAGGAGAATTTCGTAAAGAAAATTAAAATCACTCGTCACTGGTTGAGGATTAAGAGAAACCTTTGAGCAGCCAAACTGTCCTCCGGGGCTGCGTCCTCGTGGCTTCCCTCCCTGGTGGGCAGTGGAGCCGCTCCCTGCAGAAGAGGCTGAGAATTAGAAGCTTCCTCAGGGAGAGGCTTGCTGGCTTAGCGCCAGGGCTATTTATAGCTGGTGATGTTGCTGTGAGGCCAGAGGAGCACGTACAGGAGACGCCATCTGGGGCTACTGGGGCCATGAGGCACAGCCCCCACTGCACCTTGAAGTATCAGGGCCTCCCTGGGTCGGGAGGTCCGTGCCCTGGGCCCAGCCTGGCACCATCTGGAAACCACACCAGACCGAGGGTGCTGGACACCGTGCAGAGGCCACCTGAGCCCAAAACCCTGGACCAGACAGATGCTGGGATTAGGCAGGAGAATCGACACACGCCCAACTCCTACTGCTTCAGCAGCAGGTGTTTCCTGGGCAGGAAGGTGGGGAGCTGCCTGGGGGGGGCCAGCGGCATCTGGGGCTCAGACGTGGTCTCCGGCGCCCTGTGTGGGCTCGCCCCACTCTTCAGCCCCTCCTGGGGAGACCAGCCTCCTCTCTGGGTGGGGAGGTAACCACGGTGTCACAACCCATGGAATCCCCAAAGCCAGCACCCCCAGAGCCCACAGCGTCCCCACCACGAGTCCCAGCTCGGCAGAGCCTCTTCAGAGGGGGAGCGTCCTCAGCCGCATCCACGTGGCAGCTCCTGGAAATGGCTTTGATTGGCCCTGCTGGGGTGACAGGGGAGGGTGCGGGTTCTGTGATCTGCAGCCCCCGAGAAGGGCATATGGGGGAGGGGCAGCTCCCCACAGGGACGAGGCACGCTGTCTCCAAATCTCATTTGCTGACAGGGAAGCAAGGCTGTTTTGAGCTTGCAGATTTCCCCTTTAACTGTACGGGACGTGCAGTGACATGCAGTGAAGCTCAATTGTAATGTAATGTCTAAATGTCCAAATGTAGGACCTTCTTTGGTGAAGAAATATAGGAAGTCTTTCACGGGGTGTGAGGAAATGATGGTGTTCTGACTTCGGTACAAAGCCCAAGTGTGTCCTGCGACCCCCCATTAGCAGGGGGAGCGTGAGCTCACCCTCCAAAGAGCACATTCGTGCCCACTTTTCCTTTTCTTAATCAGATTTGTGAAAAGGAAGGACTGGTCCTTACCTTTTCTCAAGCCTAAAAGTTAAGAACACCTGGACCCCTTTCCTGCCCATCGCCTTGTGTCCCACGGCACAGTGTCCCCCTGTGTCCCCAGCATGTCCCGTGTCCAGTTGTCCCAGCACCATCTCCCCTCTTTGGGCCACATTCCCAAGGTCTCATCCTGTAACCCTGTTGCACCCATTTGTTCATCAGACATCAGGTGCCAGGTGAGCCCGGCCAGGTCAGCCCCGGGAAGCTCTCGCTCCGGCGGGAATGTCACAAAAGCCAGCATCCTCCGGGGGCCTCGTTCAGGCCTCACACTCCCACTGCCTCTGGGTGCGGGGGGGGCCGTGGGCCTTGGAGCCTGGGAGGAGCCGCCAGCACCCAGCTGCCTTCCTGGGAAGCCGGTTGCCGCAGCTCATCTGGGCCTCTGTCTCCCCCGCCCTGGCCCTGCCGGCTGCTCGGCCCCCAGGCCTCCGGAGGCCCCGAGGCCGCTCCTTCTTCCTCCTGCCAGGGGCTGTGGCTGCCCCCCCAGCCCGTTCCTGGGGAGGGGCTCTGCTTTTGCTGTGGTTTTACTACCTGACCCTGTTTCCCCCCGCTCTCCGGTTTAGTGTTTAGCCTTCCTACCTCAGAGCACGTGCTCTGCCATGCTGGCGCGTTTTGTGCAGTACCGCGTGGAGCCGGCGCACGCTCCGTTCCGTGAACCCGTCACCGTCCGCTGATCCCTTGTGTGGGCCACGGGCCTTGGGGTTATTTCCATCCTCTGGCGTGGCTGCCTGGAGCCCTGCTGCGTGTTCCTCGGAGAACACGCGCGAATGTTTCTGCTGGGTCCTCGGCGCCCTGTCTTAGCCGATGGGACCGGCGTCTCCCCAGACTTGAAGCCCCTTGGCGGCCGCGCTCCACAGCCGCCGGCAGCGGGCAGGGCGCAGTGGCCTTCTGGCGGGTGGCCGTCTGGAGGGTGCGTGCCAGCGCCTGCGTTTCAGGCCAAGGTAACGAAGCCGGGCGTCCCTGCCAGTGACTGGGTGTCCGGATGTGCTGGGCCTGCTCGAGTCCCTTGCCCATTTCTCTAGAGCTGTCTTTTTCTGGTTGATCCACAGGGCTCTTTCTAGATTCTGGAGACAGCAATGTAAGAGACACCTTCTCTGCTGTCTTTTCACTCCTTAGTGCTATATCTTCTGATGAATGGAAATTCTGAGTTTTAATCTGGTGCCATTTAAGAGTCTTTTCCTTTAGGGGTAGTGGGTTTTGTGTCCTGTGTAGAGAGTCTTTCCCACCCAGGACATCAGATACTCTCAAGCATCCCCTTCCTGAGGCTTCATGATTTTGCCATTCCTGCTTCAATCTGTACCTGAATTAATTTCCATTTTTCTCCATGTGTCTGTTCAGTCAGCCCGTCTCCTTTTGTTGAAAAAGTTTTTTTCCCCGCTTTTCCTGCAGGACCACCTTTGTTGTCCACACTGTCTCTGCACCTGTGCAGGTGGACTGGAGGCTCTCTTCTGCCCGGTGGTTTATTTTCTGTCCTTGTACCAGGACCACACGCCACACTGGCTTCATTTCCAGAACTTTCCATCGAGTCTCGAAACCGCTGGGCAAATCCTCCACCTGTTCTTCCTTCAAGATCGCCGGTTAATTCATGGTTCTTTGCCTTTTCGTGTATATTTTACATTCAGCTTGTCTCACTACCCAGACATAAAAAGTGTTAGAATTTTTATTTGGATTAAATTAAAACTGTGCATGAATTTAGGGATAATTGACATCTTTGTATTTCAGACTTAATCCATGTTCATAATATCACTATTCTTTCAATAATGCTTCATAGTCTCTGTGTCGACGGTCTTGCACATCTTTTGTTAAATTTATTCCTAGGTAACTCATACTTCCTCACTTTTTTTTAAATGGTATATTTCTAAATACCTTTTATTGTCTGGTTTTGCTGCTACATGAAAATAGAATAGATTTTTGCATGTTGACCACGTATCCAGAAACCTTGCTAAACTCGCGTTGATTCTAATAGTTTTCCTGGGATCCCTTTGGATTTCGTATGTACACAGTCATAGAAATGCAAATAATGCCAGTTTTATTTCTTCCTTTCTATGTTTATATCATATTTATTTCCTTTCCTTATCTTACCACACTGACACAGTGAGTA